AGCCCCCGAAATTTTGGGGGGGTTTGCAAAAAGAGCCCCGGAAAGAAAAAAATTAATTTTTCCACTGGTACCAGGGTACGTTCCGATATATCGAACTGTACCCAGGGTACCCTCCGAATCTCCGATAGTACCCTGGCACTGGGGGACATAGACCCTATCAGCGACAGTGTGTGTTGACAATGACATGTTGACATTGTTGTGTTCAGTCGCATGAGTCGGCACCCCAAATAGTAGATACAATAATGTAACCCAAACACAGGATATAGGGTGTATCGGTGTATAGGGTGTATAGACTATAGTCTATAGGGGATAACGGCACAAATCCACTTTAGGCACTTTAGGTACGGTATCACGAAGGGATGCACAGATTTCTGTGTATCATCAACTGATGCACAGACTTTCCGTATATCAAGGAATGATGCAAAAACCCTAACCCTAACCGGCCTAAGTCATAAAGTATACTATTACTAACGCTGAGAGGGTCTATGTCCCCGGGGTACTGCCGGAACGTACCCTGGGGGACATAGACCCTATGAGCATTACTAACCTTACTACTTAGCCTTAGGTATCACGAAGTGTGTTACTGTTACTGTTAGGGTTAGGGTTACCGGTTAGGGTTAGGGTTAAGGTTAGGGTTTTTGCATCATTCTTTGATATACGGAAAGTCTGTGCATCAGTTGATGATACACAGAAATCTGTGAATCACTTCGTGATACCTAAGCCTAAGGTGCCTAAAGTGGATTAGCACCGGGGATAACACCCTATCCTGTGTTTGGGTTACATTATTGAATATTGCATCTACCCAAATAGTACTTTATAACAACGTTACATTTACAGCATATACTTGCTAGTTGCATATTACTATTAGCCGATGTGGTGTGCACGTGAATTCGTTCGCGTGGTATGTATTATTACCTTTTATTTCCCTGCGGAGATCTTCCCTACTCAAACTCATGCTGTATTTTCACTAACCGCAACACCAATGAGCTAGCGAGCTATCGTTCCTTGTTCATCTAGTTGTCCCAAAATTATACCCGCTACAATTAGTAGGCGTGGCCTTCTCGCTGTCAGTTTTCAAACTTGCTTTCCGGCTAAAGTATTGGACTATTAGACTAAGCAAATCTGGTATAAAAACTTATTGATGAAATTATAAAAACTACAAAATACGTAGATGAAAACTATCGTAATATATGGTATGTACACGCTAGTACCATTCACAATACATTATTACGGAAACCCAAGAACTGCATGGCGCCGCCACTGGATGCTCTTTTGATTGTGATATATACTTCTGCTACATCCCTAGACATGCCTATATATTATTTTTATGGCTACATCCATAGAAATAATATACTAACTGGAGTGAATAAGAATATTTCTATAGATCTATTATTATTCACTCTTGATGCTATATGTGGTTAGACTCTAGATACGTGACTTTCTCTATCTCTTTAGACTCTTTCTATCTCTCTCTCGATCCCCCTCTCTTTTTCTTTCTCTCTCATCTCTCTAGCTCTCTAGCAAGTTGGGAAAATCCAAGAAAGGGAGCCAGCAATCCAAGAAAGAGAGGAAAACTTGTGATAATGGTCCATCGCCGTTTTTTCGCAGTGCGCAAAAACAGGAAAAAAGTTGTGGCGGGCTGCGATATGTGTTTGTCGCGGCACACCACCATTTTTTATAAAGTATACATGTAAAATAAAATGCAAATTCATGTTAATTTATTGGTTCACATTTATTTATTATTATACGAGTATATTACACATTGCATCACATTAATGCTTGACATTTCTGGCCTTTTATTGTTTGCTAGAATCAAAGTACATCAACAACAACGGCAAATTTAGTAATTTACTGATGTAAATTTTCATATGGCTGAAATTTTTTATGACCGGAAGCTTCTGGACTCATTCCGGGGCACCGGGAGCAGCGTTTCATACCGGGAGGATCCCGGTGAGACCGGAACACTTGGGACGTCTGTTACTGTATATATATATATATATATATGTGTGTGTGTGTGTGTGTGTGTGTGTGTGTGTGTGTGTGTGTGTGTGTGTGTGTGTGTGTGTGTGTGTGTGTAGTGTGTGTGTGTGTGTGTGTGTGTGTGTGTGTGTGTGGTGGTGGGTGTGTGTGTGTGTGGTGTGTGTGGTGTGTGTGTGTTGTGTGTGTGTGTGTGTGTGTGTGTGAGTTAGAGAGAAGAGAGAGAGAGAGAGTGCGTGCGTGTGTTGCGTGCGTGCGTCGTGCGTGCGTGCGTGCGTGCGTATGTGTGCGTGCGTGTGTGGCGTGTGTGTGCGTTCGTGCGTGTGCGCGTGCGTACGTGTGTGCGTAAAGACTCTCAAGTCAGACTCTCTAGCGTCGCTATGCAGCCTGCGTGCGTGTGTGGTGTGTGTGTGCGTTCGTGCGTGTGCGCGTGCGTACGTGTGTGCGTAAGACTCTCAAGTTAGACTCTCTAGAGTCGCTATAGCCTACATCATTTTCCTGTATAGGAATGCCGCTCGCGTCACTGGTCGGGTTGCCTGCAAAGATAATGTATTTCGGTCAAACACATGCGCTCAATTTGGGTAGGTGTATGCCCGAGAGTGGGTAGGTGTATGCCCGAGAGGGGTGTGCATGGTATTAACAAGGCCGTAGTCTGGGGGGGGGGGCAGCTGCCCCCTTAGATTTTGGACCAAAAAAATAAAATAAAAATGTTCTACTAAAAGAGACTTGTCGTAGTCAGAATGAAGGCTGTAGCCTACATGTACTCAAAGTGCCTCAAATACCATCTCTTGCGATCTACATTTTCAAAATTTTCGGTTGGAGGACCCCCAGACCCCCACCTGTTTCTCACCCCTCCTTGAAATCCTGGATCCGCCACTGCCCACCCCCTAGGAATTTGCTCAGTCTACGGCCTTGGACCGTAAAATCCACCCTAGACATTTCACGTTGGCCGCAGCATCCCACAACAATCCTTTCCTTCGTAACCTCGTAAATAATAGTCTTCAAAGTCCAATTAAGGGACTATATTGAAGACGGAAAGAGTCAAGTTGATCAAATATAAAGATCAACACTGCGGAACGCAGTAAAATCCCTGGGGCACTCCATATATATTGCTTGGTAGGCCCCTTGGTAGGTATTCATGTGCCGCGGGAAACCCCCCCCCCCTCTTTTCACCCTAAACTTCCGTTCTAGTGCATCGCATTTTTAAGAATATCTTGTTCCAGAGCATCACAAGTTTACATTTTCGAACATAGCCAGTTCCAGAGCATCCCACATTCAACAAACATTGGTTCCAGCGACCCCCATTTTCAGGTCTGACTTAGTTCTAGAGCCCCTCATTTTTGACTTTGCAATGACACATATACCTACGAGTACCATAATGTGTGGTGAGTGCCCCCCCCCCCCGGAGCAAAAGAGCCTCAAATATGCAATTTACTAAAGAGGAAGGGAGAGAATTCCAATACGGAATGACAGACACAAATAAGGGATCATTAGAAAATGGTACATGTCGAAAGCAATGACTACGCGCAGATGATCAAGTGCAACGAACAGGCTTCATCCATCCAGAGAGACATGATACAAGATTGCGTGGCACAGCTTTGCTGTAGATCCTGAGCGCTGCGCGCGGATGAGACGCGCAGTTCCGCGAGGTTTTTCCAAAATTGAAAACGTTCAGTCGCGCACGTACGTGTGCCACTGATCTCTATAATAATATCATTATTATATCGATATTATTATAGAGATCAGTGACGTGTGCACAGTGAAAAACGTTTGTCGCGTAACACTCTGATCGAAAATGGCGCCTGTGGCGTCACAACTACATAACCAATTCGATTCCTTTTCTTGAATATCTAGCTCATGGATAATCGGCAAAGCTGCTGCAAGCGTGTATTGTAAGTTGATCTACTTAACTTGCGTTTGTTTTCAATAATAACAACACTAGTTATGGCTTCAGATAGAGATATAAAGATAATAGTGTGTGGAGACGTAAAGGGTCAATTCAAGAGCCTGTTTAATCGCGTCACTTCGATAAACAAGAAAAATGGACCATTTGAAATGCTTCTCTGTGTTGGTGAGTTTTTCGCGGCGTCTGAATCGGCGAAAACCGAGTGGGAAGATTGTGTTAGGGGTAACATTAATGTTCCTCTATCTACATTTATTCTTGGCGCAAACGAGACTGAATACGGTCGATATTATTCAAGTGGAAAAGAAGGCGAACTGTGTCGTAATATTACATACTTGGGGAAAAAAGGCCTGTTTTCGGCAGGCTCTGGACTGAAAATTGCCTATCTAAGTGGACAAGAGCAACATAATGAAATTGGTAGTACTGGCGGTGGTAGTGCTGGTACTGGTGGTGACAGCCAAGGACTTGGATTTGCAGCAAAGGACGTAACCAACCTTCTTGATACAATAACACAGTCAACAGTGTCCAATGGAGTTGATATCTTGCTTACATCACAGTGGCCAAGTGGTGTTTCAAACTACACCAAGTCACCTGTTGGTCTTGAGGAGAGCAACAAGTTAGATTCACGTGCCATTGCGCAGCTCGCATTAGCTCTGAAGCCTAGGTACCACTTTGCTGGATCAAAGGGTATATATTTTGAACGGCACCCATACCGCAATCACAAAATATTAGCAGAGACCGCACAGCATGTCACACGATTCATAGGTCTTGCAGACTATGGCAATTCCTCCAAGTACAAGGCGATGTATGCTTTCACTGTAACACCTATGGTGCATATATGTGCTGCAGACCTCTATAAGCAGCCAGAAGATGTAACAGAATGCCCATATCATCTTGACAACAACATCCTAGAAGCTGGTGGGAAAACGAAAAAGTCTGGGGAGGCAGTTCAGTTCTTTTACGATACGAGTGAGCGTGGGGGTGATGCCAGACATAGGAAGAAAAGACCGGTTGAAGGTGAGGCAGGCTGGGTAGCAAAGAAGCGTCCACAAGCAACAGGACCTTGTTGGTTTTGTCTAGGGGGCAAGGAGGTTGAGAATCACTTGGTTGTTAGTGTGGGAGAAACGACCTATCTCGCACTTGCCAAGGGAGGCCTAGTTAGCGATCACGTCATGATATTGCCGATTGAACATCACCAGTCTATCACTCAGTGCCCCGAGGAGGTGCTGGAGGAGATTAACAAATACAAGCTATCTTTAGTGAAGTACTTCAAAGCCAAAGATCAGGGTGTGCTGTTCTTTGAACGTAACTACAAGACACAGCATCTGCAAATACAGGCAGTCCCTTACCCAATGAGCAAACACAGCAGTGTCAAAGATGCCATCACTAACTATGCAGATAGCAAGGATATCCAATTGGACGAGTTGCCAAAGTACACCAGCTTAAAGCAAGTCGTGCAGCCCGGCGCCCCCTATTTCTACCTCGAACTCGATACTGAAGACAAGTTCTTGCATCGTATAAGAAAGGCCTTCCCACTGCAGTTCGGAAGGGAGGTTGCTGCAAGTCCGTCTCTGCTGAATATGGAGGAGAGAGCCGATTGGAAGGCATGTGCGCAGAGTAAGCAGAAAGAGACGGATTTATCCTTGCTGTTCAAGAAAGCATTCCAGCCATTTGACTTTAACTACTCGTGAACAGCGCCGATTCCAATTGAGTCGTTTTATTCTTTTTTGCCAAGTTGCTATGGCGATGATAAAATCTATGTAAACTCAGCAACAACTCGGCTGTGTGAAATAAACGTCAGCAATAATGTAGAGTGGCTACACGTCTGGCTTTTTCTAAATCCAGCATGTATGCATGTTATTGTGCAGTATATTAAATTTTGTTAAGAAAGAGATAGGGATACTCTAGTTGAGATATCTGTTGTATATAAGGCTCTATGAATTTAGCAATAGCCAGACACATAGCCAGGGTCATATACTACATTTTTTATGACAGTTGTGTACCATCCTTTTATATTTGTACCCGATACCCATGCATGGAAGGTAGAAAATAGTCCAACTCCACAATGTGACATGCAAGTAGCTTTCTTACAAAATGCAATTTTATCTGTGTATGAAATATTTGTTTTAGTGTAATGTCTGTAAACAGATTTTATAGTGCAAATTTGCATACCACAATAACTTGGTTATAATTTCTTAGCAAATACAATTTCTGGTTTAAGTACTAAATAGTGTGATTTGAATTTTTATGAGCAGTTGCTGTGTAAAAAGTCAATCATATCTCTGACTTATTTTTGGCTTGTTTAATAATTGTCAATTTAAAATTTGCAGTGTAAGCAATTACTAAGCATTACCCTGAGCCAAGGCAAAATTGTCTAATTTTTCTAGCAACACTAGAAGCAATATCAGGAATAGTTGCTAGGCAAATGTTCTGGCTCTGTGCAGCATGTTTAAGTACCAAGTACAAAACTGAAACTACTCTAATAACTAATGATGATAATCTTAACCAGTGAATTCACTAATTATACACAATGAATTATATCATAAGAGTAAATATTGTCGATTGACGTCGAAATAATTTTAAATCATACAGTTTATTTTCCACCACATCCTTTTAGGCCACACGTCTAAATACAAGTACTGCAAGTGAAGTGACATTTTACTTAATTAAGTCACTAATTCTTCAATTATCACCTAAACGATATACATACCCATTAAAAAATAAATAGTAAAATTGCCCATACAGTTCTCCACGAAGTACTTAACATTGCATTAATTGAACTATTCTGTACTATAGCGCTATGTGCTATACAGCAATCGTACAAGTGTATACATACGTAACAAAAAAATGTCATAGAGCAATCGCTTGGTTTACATGAATGTAGCAGAACGTTGGACCTCTGAAAATGAAACAAAGCAATAACAGATAACTAGTTAAATATCCAACCATTTTTGCATATATGCAGCATCAGACGTAACGGTACCAATCGTAATAGACGGTGGTTATTACAAATGTATTACAGTACAGAGAACATTGATCAGAACAACAGAAAGCTAAAGACTATAGTCATTCATATTCCTAAACAAAATATTTAGTGAATTCACCAATAGCATAAAAATTAACACACAGGTCACTATTTATAAAAGTGTTTACAGTACAACTTTTACCAAAATTTTTTTATTTGTACATACTTTTACACTGAACCTTGATACTGTTCATAGTATACATACGCTCACACCGACACAGCTCAGAAACACTATCTTAGAAATGGCTACCTGGTAAAAAGTAAAAAAAAAGGTTTGAAATGTCTCATGACATGCAAAATCAGTTCTGCATAAAACGTTGGAACCTCATACCAGGACATGGGCGGATTTAGGAAGTGGGGCAGATTGGGTGGCTAGCCAGCCACAACACTGTTCTACCAGAAATTTTTGCACACATGCACGACTGCACGTGCAAGTAATAGCATTTAGAAACACAAAAACATGACATAACTATTTTATATAAATCATCACACAGGAACGCATGCTTATATATAAAGAGATATGTGACACAGAATCTTCATGGTAGAGCAAATGATCAGAAACAAGAAATTGACTACAAAGGACGAGTTTGATGTCATCAGGAGTAGATAATAGGGATTCCCTATTATCTACTCCTGATGTCATGAATATCAGAGCAAATAAGCACAACTACAATGTGAGTTATATTCACATTTGAACCCGATTCCAGAAATAACTGGCTGCTGACACGGGCAGATCCAAACAGGTATATATATATATATACCTATATACCTATATACTATATACCAACAGTTATATGGCAGGTTGGATTGCACATTGCGATTTAATTTCAATTTTTAAAACACTTAGATCTGGATGTATATGCGTGTGTATATATATATATATACATACACACATATACGCCAACAGCTACAGAATTTCCAACACACTTTTCAAATCACCAACAGACTGCCATTACTCTGGGCTTTACCTGTTGACCGCATCAGTCGTTGATTTTCGACGAGTTTCCGTTTCATCCGAGATCACAATATGAATAAGGCTCCAAATACGACGACTGTTCATATCTGCTTATTATTTTACACAATTATTATTTTATGCAATGCAGTGACTGCACCACAACAAGTCCGCACCATGTGCGATCACAAACACGTAAGTATGCGTACATAGACATCCGAACATGGGTACTAACATATAGTGATCCCTCACTGATTGCTTAGGTTACCTTCTTGATATATTGCCTGAATGGTGAATACAATCGGACCTTATACAGTATACAATGTATATTATACAATTATTATACAATGTATTCGTAACACCGACGTACGTGACGCTATGTGCGTTCATGTAACCATAAAAACTTCATTATTTTGCATTACGACAGTGACAATTGTGACAAGTCTTCATAATTCTGTGTGATTTTCTCCACCTACATCGTTTATTAACAGATATGTGTTCTATAGAGGTGTCCACTAACATAGGTTTGGCTGCAGTAAACTACAGATAAGCAAATTCACGATTGTAAAACACACAATGGCAATGGGATTATTACAGTCTGCTAGGCACCTGTACACGGCCAAGTTGAATAAATTACCCATGGTCACCAGTGAATTCTTACACATATATATTACACTCCCACTGCAGCCCATGCACAGACCATGTGCACAATGAGCGACTTGCATTATGCCATTAAAAGTAACTTTTGGGCACAATTGTAACGATAATGCACAATGGCATAAATAGTAAAATACAAAATAAATCACTAAAATTACATCAAACTGCGTATGCAAATATGCATACGTTTTTCAAGGCAGGCGCTATTGATTTTTAATAATTCTCGATCAATAGTACTGGGTGAATCCACTAGTAATGGGTTCAATACTCCAGTTGTAATCACGCACCGAATAATTAATCCTTGACTACGTCACTCTATATATACACACAAACTGCAGACGTTGGCTGCACATCATATATTACAACAGCCATCTCAACACCACTGCTGCTGCTACTACTATGGAGTGCGTCGTCCCAAACGTCCCCTGCCCTCTGTCCGTCGCGCCCGCCGGGCCCGCTCGTCTCTTTAGGTACCTCAGAGGCGTCTCTCACTCCCTACGTTTCTCAGGGGCGTCTCTCACTCCCCACGTTTCTCAGGGGCGTCTCTCACTCCCCACGTTTCTCAGGGGCGTCTCTCACTCCCCACGTTTCTCAGGGGCGTCTCTCACGCCCGCTCCTCCTACTTTCTCAGTGGGCGTCTCTCACTCCCCACGTTCTCAGGGGCGTCTCCTCTCACTGCCCCACGTTTCTCAGGGCGTCTCACTCCTCGACCCACGTCTTCTCAGGGCGTCTCTACACTCCCACACTCGGGCGTTCTCATCCCAGTTCTGAGGTCTCTCCACATCCACACGTTCTTAAGGGGGCGTCTCCTCACTCCCACTTCAGCGTTCTCCTCGTTACTCAGGGGGCGTCTCTCACTCCCACGTTCTCAGGGGCGTCTTCTTCACTCCCACGTTTCTCAGGGGCGTCTCTCATCGCCCTACGTTTTCTCAGGGCGTCTCTCCACTCCCACGTTTCTCAGGGGCGTCTCTCACTCACCGCGGTTTCTCAGGGCTCCCTCATCAACCTCCGGCTCCGACTCCCCACGTTTCTCAGGGGCGCGGCTGCCGGCTCTCATGGCTTGAAAAACGGGCGTCTGAGTGGCTCTTCGTATGGTGCCGCGGCGTCGTCGTCGTGCGCAGTAGCGTTGCCACCGCCGCGCGGCACGTCGCTCGCGCGCACGTGGATCAGCTTCGTGTTCATCACCTCGCAGTCGATCTGCATCATCGCAATGTGATTCTCGGGCGGAGTCAGCGATTCTGCGAGGCGAGGGAGAGAAAGAGAGAGAGATTACACGCGGAACGCGTCGGTGCGTAGCGCAGACGCGTGCGGCAGTGTGGACAGTGAATGCATGCGTGCGTGCGTACGAGAGAGAGAGAGAAAGAGAGAGAGACATGTCGTTATGAGCAGGAGAGAGAGAGGTGTGTTGTGTATGTGCGCTGCGTGGCGTGTGATGAGAGAGATATGAAAGAGAGAGAGAGACGTGTGTGTATGTGTGTGTGTGTGGGGGGGCGAGGTTTAGTGTGCACCGGGCCCTATGAGCATCGATGAGCCTTTAGTGAAAAATTCGTATTCTGTAACAGGGATCATCAGTTATACCCCTTTTATACTGCGCACGACTTTAGCCCGCTTCTGAAGCGGGTATTATTAATACTTTAGTGCGGGATAAGTCGTTTATACTGCGGCCACGATTTAAGCCTGCGTTCTGAAAAGCAGGATAAATTTAGCTCGGATTAAATCGTTTTATACTGCCTGTTCTCGACCACCGAGTTGCGTGCGAGACGCGCGTAATTGCCATGGTCACTGAATGTAGAGCGAGCTAAAGTCGAATGTACCTTTTATACTGACGTTACTCGCGGTCTGAAGTGGCCCTGAACACCTCCTAAGAGGGAATAACTTGTACGCTCGGGCTCAAGTATTTTTCGACCTTCTATACTGGGGGTTTCCCGCTCAGGTACCATCTACCCCCCAGTAATAAAGAGGGGTATTAGATAGATAAACATTGGCCATCTCGCTACACTGTCCGCCCAAAGAAATTTCATTATTACATATTGTTTGGATGTTTTTGAACGAACTTCTCTGAATCATAAATGATGGAGACACTGTACAGAGGTGATTTATGAATACCTGAGAAAGTCATAAATGGAGGTTTGTATCAGACACTGTCGTGCGGTGTTTATAAATAACTTAAGGCCTGCGGCGCACGACGTGGCGTTTTTATCGCTAGACTAGGCGATTTGTTGCCGGCTGCACGACCGCCGAGAGATCGCACGTGTGCGCTGGAGTGGCGATGGCGATATGTTGACGCCAGAAATCTCGTCGCTGGAAATTATCAAACAGTGATTTGAGTATTTGTTGCGGAGTCGCTGCAACTATCATGAACAATCTGACAATTGCAGGGCAGTAATGTTGCCGAGAGATCGTTGCATTGTCGCTCGGAATAGTGTGCCCAAGCGGACGGCCCGGTCTCTTCGTGCAAACCGAAGGTTTGAGTTAATATAGTTGGCAGCGGACGCTCCCCTACTAGCAAGTTTAAGATACAAAACAGTCGAATTACATATGGGATTCACTGGGGAATCGTCTATATCTTGATTCGTGGCCAAACGGAGGACTGC